TGAATCAAGGATTGTTGTTTATCATATGAAATCAAATCAAATAGTTAATGTTGGGACTGACATAATTTAATATGATATAATATAATATGGTGACGTAATGTGAGTAGTGATAATTTTTATGCCCCAAACTTATTATTATTATCTTTATCATTATTATTATTATTAATAATATACTTGACAACCCTTTTGAGAAATTTATTCAGCATTCAGCCTTATCTACTCTATCTGACGTAATTCATATTATTCTACGCATTGCGTACTTTCTGACATTTACTTCATTATTCTCTCTCTCTCTCACACCCCATGTTGACCATATTTATTCTAATCATTATTTGTCTCACCATTTCATTTCGCTTATAAACTGATTCAAGTTAACATGTTATATTAAACAGCCCCAACATTAACGAACTGAATTGATTCCATATAATAAACAACAATTCTCAATTCACACATTACAAATTCCAAATGATGTACTCTGCCTTAAATCTGGCCAATTTTATGGATTATTAATTTGGATTTATAATTGTAGAACCTGATGAGAAATTCATTAAAAAGAATATTCTTCATTCATATGAATTGTGTTCTAATATAATGGGAGTTGTTTCAGTGATTTATCTTAACGACTATATTTACCAGATATCATTGAACAAGTAGAAAATAAATGGCCATATTTAGAACATAAAAATAGATGTTTCTATTCAACGAAACCATTAGAAGGAATTTTTGATAAAAAAGATTCTTCTTCCTTATTTTGTTGATGAAAAATTCCCATTATATTAAAAACACAATTGTATGAACGAAGAATATTCTTTACAATGAATTTCTCATCAGGTTCTACAATTATAAATCCAGATTAATAGTCCATAAAATTGGCCAGATTTAAGGCAAAATACATCATCATTTGGAAATTGTAATATGTGAATCAGGATTGTTTGTTATTATAAATAAAATCGTTAATGTTGGGGCTGACTAATATGAAGTGTTAATTTGAATCAGTTTATAAGCGAAATGAAATTGTGAGATAAATAATGATCAGAATAAATATGGTCAACATGGGGTGTGTGTGTGACAGAGAGAGAATATTGTGATTACAAATCGGAAATCGCGTAATATGTAAAATAATTAGGTCAAATATAGTAGATTCAGGGGTGGATATTAAATAAATTCCTCAAAAAGGGGTTATCAAGTGTAAAGACAATAATAGTAATAATAATAATAATAATAATAATAATAGTAATAAGTTTGGGACATAAAATGAACATTAATCAGATTACGTCACCACATTATAAGATTGATTATTAGCTAGTTGGCCAGGGTAAAAGGAGTGGCTGAACATACTTCTTTTGGATACAAGCTCTGGCTTTTTGATCCGAATAGCAATTGCTTCAGCCGTCTGTAGGATTCGCAGTCTGACGGAATTAGGTGACTGCTGTTGACACGATAAACTATTGCAAAAGATTGCTCCATGTTGGCTGTATGTCCTGTTTGGACATAACATTTTTTTTCACAACATAAATGTTGATAAATAGGGAAATAAAATTGATTGATAAATTCAGTTAATTATAAATGTTACTTAGTTACTATTATTTTGTTTTTGTTTTTGTACTTAAGTATGAACAGGCAATATGTAGCGAAATACTGTTTTATCTCAATGTATTTAGTTAAATTTTATTTCAGTTGTATCAATGGAAGAAAAAAACAGTTGACAATTGAATTTAATCAACATAAAGAAGTGAACATGAATAGATTTACTATGTATCAAAGTAAATAAGTGAATGATTTGATAACATGATTCCATGTGAATAAATTTGGAACAATTAGATATGAGAATACATTTACATGAATAATCTTATTTGATACATTGATTTTCCTTGAATATTTTGCATAAAGATGATGAATGATTCAGGGATGATAAAAGAAAGCAGGTTAAGTGACTAAATCATCAAAAAATAAGCTGAAGATAATAGCAAAATGTGATACATGGAATAACATTTTAGTTACTTCTTGTGGAGGATCATAAGCAGTTTACCAGCATTCTAAAACCAAATCTGTCCTCTAATTTCCTTTCCAACTGTTTGTAATTCATTTTTATTCTCTTCAAGTCTGCCTCCAATTACTTATGCCTTGAGGATCTTAATTTATGTTTAATCTCGTGATGAAGCTTTATGGTTTTTGAAACGTACTTTTTACTCACCTCTACTGTATTTTCCTAATTCCCTCCTTATCTACAAGTTGGTTTTATCCTTTCCACAATAGGCTTTTACGGACGGCCAACGAATATTGAGTATCTTGAGTATATAATTGGTTATAAAAACCTGTACTTCATTGATGACGGTTATAGTAGTTCTCCAAGTTTCAGGTCGGTACTGTAGAATTGTTTTGACGTGAATTTAACATTCTGACTTTGATGTTGGCTTGGTGGCCGATGTTTTGAGTTGCCTATATTCTTGAGTTGTAGGAATGCTATCCTTGCTATGCAAATCTGTGCCTTCAAATCTGCATAAAAATCCATTGTTCATCGATGATGAAGTTCAAGTAATTAAAACGTTCCACATCTTCCAGAGCTTGATCATCAGGTGGGATTGGGTTGGTACTCTTTCTGTTATATTTTCGGATTCTACTGTTCCATTGCGAATGTTGAGGTTTACTACTGCAGTGGCTGTTACATCACTGGCTGTCTTCACCTGCATTTGTTGGTGTGTATGGAATAAAAGAACTAGGTTATCTGCGAAATCTAATTCGTCTGGTTGCATCTTAACTGTCCACAGTATTCCGTGCTTCGTCTGAGATGTGTTAGCCGACTGCCAGAAGAAAGAGAAAGGTGAGAATTATCAGCCTCGTCAGACACCGGTGTTCATTTGAAATGCATCTGACAGCTGTTTTCCATGCACAACATTGCAATGTAATCAATCGTACAAATTCCGGATGATGTTGATGATTTTCTCAGCTACTAACAGCATAGTGTCGAAGATGGTTCCAAAAGGTTCTCCTATCCGCACTGTCAAATGCCTTCACATAGTCAAGGATGTCGATGTATAGTGACGAATATCACTCAATTGATTGTTCAATGATGATCCGTAGTGTCCCGATTCGGTCCGTGGATGACCATTCCTTACGGAGTCCGGTCTGTTGATCTCGAAGCTGGACGTATAGGGAATCTCTCACATGGTCCTGACATTCCATGTACCTATTCAAATTATTGTTTTGGTTGTTAGAGTGGATGTCGAATTCATGACTTCTGAAGAACCTCGGCTTTCACCGTGAGGCCGCATAATTCTTTTAAACGAAGATCCTTCAACTTTCAGGGTTGAGTGTACATGGTTCAAGTGAGTTAATCTGGTTGGCGTTTTGTTAGGAAAGTTATTTTCCACGAGATGGAGTTGCTGACCTCATCCCAAACTCTCCTTCGTTATCCGGGTTTTAGGACCAGTGGTAACCATGGGATTCCTTTTGTGCCTTGCGCAGTTATCTCAAACAGTGCTCCAGAAAGAAATGATCGTCTTGGTGATTCGTTGAGCCTACTCATTTGTTCACAAAAAAAGAACTTAATGCATATGATCAGATATTACACGTAGACGGATATCAGAAATAAATTTCAGTAAATCAGTTCACTACTTGTAAGTAATAAAAACGAACTAAATAAATAATCTTCAAATCCAACTATGCGCTTTAGTGAAAATAGTTAAAAAGAAACTTAAGAATTTATGCCCAATAATTTAGCAAAAAATAACCAAAGATCAAACACAGATCATTATTAAAAGAAAACCAGAACGAAAAGAGTCACTATTATTAAAAATATCTGTCAAGATGAAGTAATTTTATGATGTACTGTTGTTTAAAATCAATAACAGAAACGAGAAAATGATCACAGAGATATTATCCAGCTAAAAATGAGCGCAAAGTGATCCTAGTCGAAATTAACAATTATGAACATAAATATGAGTTGCCTATTGAAATAACTCCAAATACCTTTCAATAATAAAATTTTAAGTTATTATTAAATTAGTCCTCTACTTTCATTTGGTATTGTTTGCTTGTATCTTCCCATTGTTGGCCTCGATATTGCTTTAAGTCACAGGTTTTATAAGCATAGATGGATGGTGTCCAGCAGTGGAATCTGGAACACGCGTTTTGGTCAATTTGATACTTTTCAGCTAGATGTACCTGGATCCTAGAGTTGATGTTAATCAGCTTACTAAAACTGTCTTAGTTTTACACCTAATGTAACTGTGATTTTTGGTGTGTCGTAAACTTGTATTTTGTACAGATAATCTTGTAATTTCACAAGCTTAGATAATATGAAAAAATGCAAGGTATATAACTAGTCTTCTTAGTGCTCTGACTGATAGATTTCTAAAGCGGTAGGAATTTTGCATTGTGTATATATATTAGCTACATTAGCCGACTCATTGTTAATAGACATAAATACCAATCCGTAGTATTATACTACTTTGAGATTAATCAATATGAATTCAAATCTATTATTTTTAGGTCCCACCACCAACCTGAAGTAGAAAATACAAACCATCACATTTCTACTTAATGGTCAAATATGATTGTAATCACTGTGAAACTAGGTTTTTCAGTCCAGTCTTCAACAGAGTCTTGGTTGAACACAGCAGTCATTTTCATACTTCATATTCTTAACTTTAGCCATTTAATTTGTTGACATTTGATTTACTGATGAATAAAATGAATTAAGACAATTAAAAAATGATTTGTTATTTGTATTTTAACAAAAACCTCGTTTCATGTTTTTTAAATCAATCTAACTTTTGGACAATGTTCTAATGAAACTCCTATATGATTGATTATCATTATCCGCAAACAATTATCATTATGGATATTATAGTTTTTCTCTGTTTGTGTGATAAAATCTAAACTTGATACATGTTTCCTATATTTTTTTCAATATTAGATAATGATTAGGCCTTTATTAAAACAAAAAAAATGTTCATTTTGTATTTGTAAAGTTAGTGAAGAAAAATCTCTAGATTCTGATGATGATGATGATGATGATGATGATGATGATGATGATGATGATGATGATGATGATGATGATGATGATGATGATGATGATGATGATGATGATGATGATGATGATGATGATGATGATGATGATGATGATGATGATGATGATGATGATGATGATGATGATGATGATGATGATGATGATGATGATGATGATGATGATGATGATGATGATGATGATGATGATGATGATGATGATGATGATGATGATGATGATGATGATGATGATGATGATGATGATGATGATGATGATGATGATGATGATGATGATGATGATGATGATGATGATGATGATGATGATGATGATGATGATGATGATGATGATGATGATGATGATGATGATGATGATGATGATGATGATGATGATGATGATGATGATGATGATGATGATGATGATGATGATGATGATGATGATGATGATGATGATGATGATGATGATGATGATGATGATGATGATGATGATGATGATGATGATGATGATGATGATGATGATGATGATGATGATGATGATGATGATGATGATGATGATGATGATGATGATGATGATGATGATGATGATGATGATGATGATGATGATGATGATGATGATGATGATGATGATGATGATGATGATGATGATGATGATGATGATGATGATGATGATGATGATGATGATGATGATGATGATGATGATGATGATGATGATGATGATGATGATGATGATGATGATGATGATGATGATGATGATGATGATGATGATGATGATGATGATGATGATGATGATGATGATGATGATGATGATGATGATGATGATGATGATGATGATGATGATGATGATGATGATGATGATGATGATGATGATGATGATGATGATGATGATGATGATGATGATGATGATGATGATGATGATGATGATGATGATGATGATGATGATGATGATGATGATGATGATGATGATGATGATGATGATGATGATGATGATGATGATGATGATGATGATGATGATGATGATGATGATGATGATGATGATGATGATGATGATGATGATGATGATGATGATGATGATGATGATGATGATGATGATGATGATGATGATGATGATGATGATGATGATGATGATGATGATGATGATGATGATGATGATGATGATGATGATGATGATGATGATGATGATGATGATGATGATGATGATGATGATGATGATGATGATGATGATGATGATGATGATGATGATGATGATGATGATGATGATGATGATGATGATGATGATGATGATGATGATGATGATGATGATGATGATGATGATGATGATGATGATGATGATGATGATGATGATGATGATGATGATGATGATGATGATGATGATGATGATGATGATGATGATGATGATGATGATGATGATGATGATGATGATGATGATGATGATGATGATGATGATGATGATGATGATGATGATGATGATGATGATGATGATGATGATGATGATGATGATGATGATGATGATGATGATGATGATGATGATGATGATGATGATGATGATGATGATGATGATGATGATGATGATGATGATGATGATGATGATGATGATGATGATGATGATGATGATGATGATGATGATGATGATGATGATGATGATGATGATGATGATGATGATGATGATGATGATGATGATGATGATGATGATGATGATGATGATGATGATGATGATGATGATGATGATGATGATGATGATGATGATGATGATGATGATGATGATGATGATGATGATGATGATGATGATGATGATGATGATGATTATGATACTTAATATAAGCGTATAAAATGAATCAATGCTATTCCATGTTATTTTAACATTCAAAAACATTTGCTTCAAATAAATTTCATTTACTCTTTGAAGAAATGTTTTATACTGTACGATGATACTTCTGAAATGCAATTTTCTACTCAATGGAATATTATGAACATATATATATGTATATGTAATTATCGGTCCTGCTTCCTTCCCAGCCCTGCCAATTTAGTCCAGAACAACAATCTCATCCTCTGAGATATGAATCATATATTTCAAACATGCTGTGCCTATTTACAGACCAAACAAACCACATCGTACCATAAAATAGATAATAATATTTGTACAAGATCTACCCAAAAGTGGCTATGAATGTGGGAAACTGTAATTAATAGACTGGATATTACTCAAGAACAGTAAATCGTGTAATACATAGTTTATATGTCAAAATAAACCTTGTAATAAGAGGAGTACAAATATACACAATCTAGCTACTGAATAAATAATAATACAATTGTCATAGCTTTACGCATTATGCAAAACCACACTCCTTCGATTTGTCATTGTTTATTGATAAACAGAACTATATTAGGGTAAATAATGTCGAAATCAACCTAGTTAATTTTGGAACAAGGAAATATATTCATTCTGAACAAGTTATTATTGTCATTTGTTAACTATGGCTGTTTTTTTAGTTGCCTACAAAGTGAGTGAATATATATTAGAGGGTTTTACTAATATTTAGCTAGCAAGAATATAGAGTACTGGTTTCAAATCAGAACTCAATAGTTAAATGATTTTATTCAGTTTGTGGAGATTATTAAGTTTTTTGATTGAGGTCATGAACCGATTGATGTTAGACTACCATTGAAAACCTGGAAGCACTGGACGACCGCTTCGTCCTAGTATGGGACTTCTCAGCAATGCGCATCCACGATCCCGCTTGTGGGATTCGAACCCAGGGCCTTCAGTCTAGCTTGCGAACGCTTAACCTCCAGACCACTGAGCTGGCTGGTATCCAACGGTGTTAATGTCTAACCTCAACCAATCCACGAAATTGCACCACCGTCCACCATCGTCTCCAGTGAGTCACTAACTCACAACAGACTCGGTTGAACTCCACTAGTCACTTCTTCTCATTAGAATTCCGAGAATTACCTCACGAATCTAGTCACTAATGAGTGCATAGTAGTTATCAGTATAGGGTTGGTAGAGATTATTATGTTTTTTTATTGAAATCATGAACCGATTGATGTTAGATCACCATTGAAAACCTGGAAGCACTGGACGGCCATTAAATTTAATGGATTATTGGGATTATGGAAGTGTTTCAACATGTTTTGTATTTTTGAACTAAATCATTTTCAATTGAAAAATCCATTTATCACAAATGAAGTATATATATATATATATATAGCGCGAGAGAGAAGAGACCAAAATACAAGCAATGGAATTAACTGGAACATGGAATAACATTAAACATTTACATACAGACTTTCATAAGAAATGGTATTGTGAAATTAAATTAATAGGTTTTGAAATATGATTAATTCATGATCGAAACTAAGCGTAACAATTTGATTATATTAAACATAGAGGATATAGTCAAGGTTTTATTGTATTAAAACTATATCTTCCAAGTTCTTAACTACCCGATACAAAAACTATTGATACTGAACATTCAAATGGAATCTAAAATTCTAGTTATTAAAAATGTACCAGTTTCAAGCGATATACTTAAACAGTCAAAATCATAAAACTAGTCTTAATAATTCCTTTTAGGAACAGATTTAATTATTTGTTAACTAATGACTGACTTCAAGATGGATTTCGGAAGTAAATTTATGAGTGATCATGTTAAAGCATGTCATAATTTTCTAAGGTACTTTATTCCTTCTACATTAGACCATCAAGAGTGATGAACTAATTAAAGTAGAAAATGTATGTACTAACCGGAACTTTCGTTTTCATCACATACTTTTATGATGTAGCTATTGTGTACATGTAAACGAGATTAGATGGTGGTTGGAGGTAGTCAACAGGAAACCCTGGACCCGGGTTTCGTGCTACTTGGCACTTGTCAGCAAGGTATACCTATAATCTTGAGGGAACTGGTGCTCCCTGGCGGATTCGATCGAGTGTCACGCAGCTTCACGGTCAGAGACGTTACCATTGAGCTATCCGAGCCGTGACTGACCTCCTGTAAGACTGAGATGTAATCACAATTGATTGATCACTGGGTGGTGATCAATGTCATGTGCGTCAAGTCCTTATTTAGTGCAGTGTCGAGTCACTAGACTTGTGGCCACATCGCAACATGGTTGACAGCATTCGATCTGCACTAAATAAGGACTTGACACACATGACATTGATCACCACCCAATGATCAGTCAATTGTGACATGTAAATGAATTAATAATGGAGATGTTATAGATAAAACGTTTTCTACTCTCTAATGATAATAATAGACTAAAATTTATTCAATGACATCATTATCAGTGTAAAGAATAAGGAAAAACTTCATAATAAATATAATTTTAGTTATGTCTTAATGAGTAGAAAACTTGTATTTCTGATGTTTCGTGACTTAGTGTAAACCACTTCTTCAGAGTAAATAAATAACCAAAGTAGATTAAATTGTATTATATACTCTCGATAAGTGGCCTACATTAGGTCAAGTAACATCAAAATATAGTTTTTCTACTCATTAAGATGTAATAAAAATATATTTATTTCATACATATAGTTCCCTTCATTATCTTAAACAGAGCAAGAACAAATATTGATGCAGAATAATATGAATTCATTTCATTTCGTTAGGTTCTCATGAACTGCTTATAACTTATACATAAGACTTAATTCTATCGGAATCTTCTCTACATCATGATACACATATTCATCCTAAATCACCCACTTATGTATAAGTTGTAAGTAGCTAATGAGAACCTAACAAAATAAAATGGATTCATATTATTCGACATTAATCTTTGTTCTTGCTTCCTTTAATATATTTATCATTCACTTTCTATCCAATCCTCAAATGATTTGAATCCATCAGGTTCAACCTTGACATCGATACCTATAAAGAAAAACTTAGTTGTTTCAATTTCATCAGTAAACTATTTCTAGTACAATGTTTCAAGGAGAAAATGATTAATTTATTCAATAGACTGTGGGTTCCGAATCATTTTTTAAAAATTACGTTCAGTAAACTAAGTTATAAAGTAGTTGAATAACCAAGTTTCTTCGTAAAAGTTTCTTTGATCTATAAGATTAATCTGAATTTAAAATCATAAATGTCCATTAGTTAATTTAACTATACAGAATTTGAAGAAAAAAGAGGATGTTAATAAGGTAATGAAACAGAGAAGAAAAAACACTTCATAATTTTAACCAGTCTACAACTTACACCTCAACAACAATCCTCATATGTATTGTTTTATTGAAAGAATTTTATACACACATAGTTTTCTTTATCATTTTAGAGAAAGAATCTTTATTCATGCTCACTTGAAAGGACTTTAATAGATTATAATTCGAACTTGTATTATTTGACTAATTATGAATTCATGAAAACCTTAACATATAATGACACTAGATAGTATTTGCTTTCTGTTTTTGGACAATATAAAAATGATCTTGTGCGCATTTTTCTCATAATTGTTTTCAGCATAATCAATAAATTCACTTAATATTGTTTTACTTGTATCTTCCCATTGTTATTTAAGACTGTAATTAATCAGTCTATTATTGGCATATATGCATACTTTGAGTACTGTCTTAATTCACAAGCATTATAAGCTTGGATATATGGTGGCTAGCAGTGAAATTCAGGACGCTCGTTTCATTCTATTAGGGACTCGTCAGTTGAATGTATCTGCATCTCAGAGTTGATATTCACTCTGGGACTGGAATCTAGTACCATTTGCTTTAAACGCCATCGCGTTATCCACTCAGCTACTGAGTCCTGATATCCAATTGCTTGCTCAATGGGGTGGATTTAAATTCACTTGGCGTTGTTTTGCTTGTATCTTCCTATTGTAGTTCAGTTAACTGGAATTAAGACCGTAGTAAACAGTTAAGAAGAAATATATTATATAATATGCTCTCTAAAAAGGATAAACACTTCAATCACTGTTAAATAATCGATAAGAAAGTAAAGATAATCATAATTTAGTAGCTGTAAACAACGAAATGGGTTATTATAATCATTGTCAATAGGTATTCTTTGAATCCTCCCAAAAGTAAAATAGAAGTGTGACTAGGTTTACTGAAAAAGAGGAATTTCCTGTTAAGATACTTTTCAGTTTACTGAAGTCACAACTACTGAACAGTTCATGCTAAATGGATGAGCGTTGGTTTTACCTCCCAGAGTAGTGAATGCTACTCACAAGGATGTTTGTAAGTAGTATGTAGCTGAACGTGGTATCAAAATTGCGATAATTCTGAACAGTTTCAGTGCATTAAAAGCACGGCATTAGTAGAACACTTGAAGAACAGGCAAGAAGACAGTTCCATTCGTAGAAAATATCAAATAAGTAAATGGTTGATTGAAGGCTAGGTACATGTATTACGTAAATACATTGTAACCTCGCAATAAACACATTCTTCCTATGGTGGAGAAGATTTGTAGCTCAGGTGGATGATTTTGAAGGAGTTTTGTTCTCTGAGAACAAAACAAACAAAAACCATTGTTCCTACTTACAGTCTTGTTTCACACTACTTTCCCACAATATATTTACTATTTTAATATTTAAATCACCTTCATAAAGAAGTCATGATTGACAATTCTAAGCATGAAAATGATATAAAAAATAATAATTTAAGGAAGCAGTTACACACGCATCGTAAAACGCGGAAATTCTCTTTTAAATAAATTTATTCAAACGATTTATGCTTTAAATGTTTTGAATCTGAAATTAGATATGATGAACAAAATGTGAATAGCTAAATAGTTTCTACTCTCCTTTGCGTAGCAACTTAGTAGTAGTAGTAGTAGTAGTAGTAGTAGTAGTAGTAGTAGTAGTAGTA